CTTCGTTTAGGTTGCAAAGAAAATTGCAATGATGAATGATAGATCGGAAATTGAAAATACTTGGTTGGTTCGTTTTGTATTTTAAAGACTCGACAAAAACACATTGACAAATGTGAACATTGATAGAAATGATTGCCAATGGCTTCAGTAAGTCATTATGAGAAATAATTCATTTGTGAGAACAACGAAAACGCATTTTGTGCATCAAAATGTGTTTTTGTGTTACATTTTGACGAACATACGTTTAATAAATTGCATTTTCACTCGCAGTTTAAGTGAGATGATCTTCAATAATATGCGGGCGCTTTTGTGCTTTCGAAAAATAAAAAACGGAAGTGATTCTTTAACGACAACTACATCTCAAACTCACTTGTACAACTTGAGCAGAACACGTATGAAGTCAGTAACCGATAGAATCCCAACAACCGATCCATCAGATTCCGGATCGGACAACAGCACATGTCGAGTATCTGCCAATTGAAAGGTTACGACTGATTTCGCGAAAAAATTCTTTTAGCAACAAATGATTCGGGCGAAAACCATAAGGACTTTGTTGGATAAATTTCACAGGAAGAGATCGTCCATTTACGAGAGTAACTGTGAAGTTCTTACGGAAAGCATGAGCGAAACTTATCCGCCTTGAGTTTTCACTGTAATTTTTTAACCCTCCGAAACTGGATTGTGCAATTGTGCAATTCAACGATCGTAATGTAGCTGTGCGTTTTATGTAGCGTAACGTCAATTGTTGCACATGACTTCAAGCAATTCAAGAAATTCACGTCACTGATTCATGTCATGTGAATATCAGAATCAAACTCAAAAAATTCTATCGAATAGAATATTATTATCGCACACACTTTGATAGATGAGACCATTGAATGCTTTCCTCAGCTGCAAATTTACATCGAAAACGACCATTTTCGAACTGGCCGGCATTGCATCATAACACGCGTTGTACTGCAGAAGCCGTGCATAATTCAGGTCACTCTCAGGACTTGTTATTTGAAGTTGCGATCTTGGTGTGGACGACGACGATGTGGGCGTATTGGGTGCCCCATACTCGGCACTTCGTGAGCCACCACTGATCGTCATTTCATCCGTTGATGTGGAGTAACTGAAAATTCATTTGAAAGTGATTTATTTTTTTTTCGCGGTTATTGTGGTTATTCATGAATGATTTGCGATTTAAAAGGATATCTAGTGAGCATGAGAGCTACATGAAATGATGTTCAGTTGCATTCATTCTCGTATTTGACTAATCGGACATTTTGAGATAATAAGTGAAGAGGAACGTAACGAATGGTTGTTCGCCTGCTAACTCATTGATCATGATTTGTTCAAT